TCTATTCTTGCTAGGGAGTCATTCTCCCCCTCTTCATCGCTCACATCATCGTCATCCCCTTCGTAAGGGGTCTCAACCGGCTCGGTCCCCGGTTGGTAAGTCGAGTCCTCATAGGACCAGTAGGTTTCACTTTCTGTGTCGACATGACCGTCACTCACGGTCTGCGATCGGCCTCCACGGCCCGCTCCTCTAGATGCCCTAGAGGTCCTTCGACTGCCCTGTCCAGTCTCCCCTGGCACACGGCCGGTCGGGTTTCTCCTAGTAATCCTGCCACCACGGTCCATTTCTGAAAGAAATTGGGAAAGAGTCGTTAGACTCGTATCAAATGTCAATTGACGGATAGGTACTTAAGACACATTTTGGCTCGAGTCACTGCCATACCAATTGCTAAGGGTACCATCTTAACAATTAGAGACCTTGCAACCCAAGTACCAAAAGCTCTCCAAGTACAAAACTTCTATGCTCATGGTTTTCAAAATCTTTTCAAAAAGAGAATTTTGAGACTTCATTATGAAGTTTATGGACTAAGGCTCTGATACCAACTTAATTGTCACGCCCCGGACCTCCCCGGACACGTCAACAACCCGCCGTACAATACGAATAGTCAACCGCAGTCCAACACATTCATATTATACAAGGCGTCATGAATATCATTCACACATAAGTCATCCATAAACATACATAATAAGCAATTCAATACGCAGCGGAAAACATTGTTTAAAACCAAGGGCCACACTGGGCAAACATGAGCACGCAGGCTCTAAAGTAAAATATCCATGAGCATGTTTATTAATGTTCTAAAACTGAATGGAGGAAGCACGAACCAAGTCTTCTCTCCGGGGAAATCACTCGGGCAACGAGCACAGGAAGCAAGCTCTAGCCTCAACCTGAAATGGTGGTGGGACGCCCCCGAAGGGGTCAGTACTCTATACGGCTATAAAGTACTGGTGTGGCAGGCATCTAATAGATATACAACAAGTATTTCAAGCACAAGACCCTCAAATAGGGTGATAGTATATTATGATTGTAACCCTAAGTTACCCATTTGAAAAATATACTTACTTTAGGTAAAAGTCAAGTAGTCGGCCCGTGGGCCCATGTTCATTTAGAAATCACCATTCCCATTTCCCGTGGCTACAAGCCACGATACTCAATAGAGTCCAACCCTAACACATGACATTGTATTCTAGAGCTCGGCTCTACTACATCACCATACAATTCATGTCACTCGGGTCAATTCCTTACCTTGCGTTCTAGAGCTCGGCTCTATTACATCACCACGCAAGCCCTAGAGCTCGGCTCTAGCTATACAATACATAGACTACAAGTCTACACCTTACATGCATTCTAGAGCTCGGCTCTACTACATCACCATGCATTAAGGTCCAATTCTCAAGCAACCCTATGCCTAGAATTGACATATCATTAAACTGCCATGGGTCATCCTTAAAGACTTCCCATAACTTAACCTTAGTTCCATACTAAGTTATTATATACACTTGAACTATATTCAAGCACCTTTCATACAATCCAATCCCTAGGATCAATTTAATCAACAAGTTCCAATAATCACTAACTAGTATTTCAATACTATTAAGATTATTGTTATCATACCACTATCCTCTTTATTTGTAATTCTCTACATAATTACAAATATGTAGCAGCAACTTAAGTATTCAATCTCAATACACAAATATTCGTTTATGTATCCAAATACTTCATACATGAGCAAAATACCTATTTCGCAAAAAAACAGTTCATTTATACTCATTAAATCTCATGTTATTCATACATTCTCAAATCATTTCAAATTTCATTCTTTGGCAACTATATCAATATTTCATCAATATATGATCATCATAATCCATGAAAAATAATGATTTAAGCATTTAGGTAATCTCATGCTTAACCTACAAGTTGTAAGCAATTAGATGTCAATCCTCACCTTAAAGAGCTTTAGACTTCCTTTCACGCTCCAACGATCAAGGCTCGGCCAAGGAAGGTTGCGAGCTAACTCCTTGCGTTAAAAAAATGAGTGGGCAGCAGCCTTCTCTCAGCAGCTGGCTCAGCAGCTGGCTCCACCCTCCTGCCACGAAACTAAACAGTCCTCTTGAAGAGGTGTTCCCCGGCAAGTTTACTTCCTAACCGTTCAAGGTTCATTTAAGGTTAGTGCCTAACCTTTAAACTCACATGTCTAACATTTCATGAATACATTCTACCCTAAGAACAAAGTGGAATGGCCTCCTAAACCTTACATACGATCTATGTAAAGAAAAGGAAGTTTTCGGGTTCAACTCACCCCTAGAGAAGAAGAAACCCTGCTGCAGGGTCGTACTTTCAAACGCAGATTTGGAAGCCTTCCTCAACTCCGATCGTCGCGATCTACACCATTCCAGAATCCTTGTTTTAAGATCTTTCTCTGGACACCTCACACGCCTGATTTGAACGAGTGAAGCTCAAGATATGGGCTGAACAATCAACCCTACGCACAGTGACGAAAACTGCGAACTGCTCTCTCCTTCCTCTCTTTCTTTGTTCTGATCGGTTCTTTTCTCTTAGGAGCCAAGTAAATTCGAATGGGGGGTACTAAGGCTGACCCTTAGGCCTCCCAAAAGGTTATTCCTTTTGTGTGGAGTGGGTTGAGTGGGGTGTGGAGGATTCTCCACCAAGTCTTACTAAATAAGTACAAATGGGGTCCAACCCTTATCATTTTATTCTCTACACAACCCCACTCCATCATGGTCCGCCCCAAAAGTCAACATACCATATTCTCTTTGTCTTGTAAGTGCCAAGGAGGTGTGGGACGCACCCCCTTGGGTCCAAGTCAGCCCGGAAGGAAAATCCTTACCGATAATTCCTTACGGAGGAAAATTGAGTGTTATTATTTGTGTCTTGGTAATGTGATTTCTCTCCATATAATATCGGGCTCTTATACTAACCAAGCTGGCCCACATCAGTATTTGGAAACTCACTCACGAAACACGGATCCCAACGATAGGTTAACAAACACAAGTTACATCAAACACTACTCGTTTCACACAATGTCAAAGCATGAGTTACATAAGATAACACACGTGTTACACACGGCTGGTAATAACAAGTTCAAAACATCAATTACGAAACTTTCAAATAGTAAATTCGGGTACACACGGGTGCGGTGTCACATAAAAGATCAAGGAAAGTGCAAGGAGGCAAGAAAGATTTTGATTTGGAAAAAATACTCATGTACCCGGTCGGGTATTGCCTATTCCCGATCGGGTATTGACTTGATTCGATTGTCCAAATCAAATCCGAGAACAAATGAACGTGGGAGCAAATTTTCGTAAAGATTTGTCACATACCCGATCGGGTATGCCGACATACCCGATCGGGTATGCCCAGAAAAGTGAATTTCTGGGCAATTTCCTAAGATACCCGGTCGGGTATCCTGTATACCCGGTCGGGTATCAGACCCTGCAGCTCCCAAAAGCCTATAAATACACTCCTTTCCTTCACAATAAAATCACCAATTCCTATATACTTCTAAGCTCAGTCTAGACAAGTTCTTTCTTTATATTTTTATCATGCTTAGTCTCCAAATGAGGAGCTAAACTCTTCCATCTTGGTTTTGCTACTTTGAAGCTTAATGAATTGTAAGTTGTGAGTTATTTTCTTTGATCTTCTTCCTTGAATATTAATTAATTCTTATTCCTATTACATATTACTATTTTGAGCAATACTTAAAGGATCAACTAGTTTTGTTTCATATATTAATTAATACTAGAATCGGTCGATTAATACGCTTGTTATTAACTCAGTCCTTTCACGGTAGTAAACTTGGGTTGCTAATGCATGCGTCTCATGGTTAGTAAGCCAAGGGGAATTAATTATATTGATTAAACCGATAAACCGCTTGTGTTGAGGTTATCAATCTCAATCGTTTTCATCTTGATTTTATTGCTACTATCAAGTAAATATACGGCGCGTGTTCTATATTGACTCGGTAGTAAGTTTTATTAATGAACGCGTCTCGTTATTAATAACTACCCTCGATGAATTGGATATACTCCTCGATTGAGTATTCGAGAGGAAGATAGTTAAAGATATAACCGGGATCGACGAACATTTCATTAAGTGGATAAAAGCAAAGCCAAGCCTTCTTCTCATTAATTAAATCACATAACTCGTTCATCTTCGTGTTTAAATATAATTTAAAGTTCATCAACCAAATATAAACCCCCCTTATTGTTACTTATTTATTCTTGTAAGAAGAAAAGTATTCCTTTCCCTGTGGATACGAACCTTACTACACTATACTACGTATTAGTGTCGTATTGATTATTATTTTGAGTGCACATCACGACAAGTGCACGTCAATGTCATAATGTTATGTTATTATATAATTTCGCAATGTTACATGACAACGGTTAATTTTCAAACAATGACATCTTTACATTGTCATATAATGACATTGCATGTATTACATTGTCATCGAATGACATTTTATAATACGTGGATAACAATGTCATTTTTATAGCTTTAACATTATTTTTAACGTCATTTTTATAACATTGATAGTCATTGACATTGATGTTGTCATTTTTATAACATTGACATTGATGTTGTCATTTTTATAACATTGACATTGACAATGTCTATGTTATTGTCATTGTTGTCATTTGATATTGCGATTTTCTTTTTGTAGCATTGACATTATCATTATAGTCAAATTGACATTTTGATATTTTTTCTTAACATTTATTTATTGTCAATAATCTACTTTTATATAAGAAATGTAATTTTTTGTAGTATTGATATTGTTTTACAATGTCATTTTTTTGGCATTGTGATGGTCACCGTAATCATAGACATAAGCATGAAAACAGTCGTCTATGCATTCTTATCTGTTAATAAATCTGATAACAATCTGATACGAGGCCCTCAAATATAAATCATAATATTTATAATAAAATAAAATGAAAACAATCAAAAGATAACAAATACTCCGTAAAAAATTGAAGCGGAAAACAGGCTGAAGGCACAGAGAAGCTCGATCTAGGTGTATGTGTTTAAGAATTTATCCCCATTCCCCAAAGCCTATGGTGTTCAACTATTCGTTAAGAAATAAGGAAACATGAAAAGCCTATGGGATGATTAATCTTATCAATGTTATTATCGTTTCCCCAGTTCTCCATATTTCCCTTTTCCCAAGTTCTTAAAATTCAGCAGCAGACAAGCCTTATCAAAATTCCTATGTAGTACTCTAACACATGGGCTAAATTGGAGGCCCTCCCTTGAACGTGGGCCCTGTGCGGCTGCACCTCCTACACATGGGCAGGGCTGGCCCTAACGGCGGCAGCGGCAGGGTGCAGAGGTAGGCGGGTAGGCGGCAGTAGGGCGAGGTACAACAGTGGAGACGAGGTGCGGTGGTAGCAGGGGCAAGTACGGCGGCGGCGATGGAGACGAGGTGCGGTGGTAGCAGGGGCAAGTGCGGCGGCGGCGCTGATGTGTTGTGGCGGTGGCTGTAGAGGATTGGGGGTGATTGGGTGAAGATTCTGGACGGGGTTTAAAAGTGGAGCAACACCTAGATCTGTTTCTTTTGTCCCGTGTAACTAAGATTTTTAATGAAAGGGTAAATTTGTCATCAACACAACTTTTAGTCCTATTTATGTTTAAAAATCTCGCTGGTCTTATTTAGATGCATTGACTATCTTTTGGTCTTATTAAGGTCTATTTCCCATTAATGTCTTGTTGTGACAGAACAGACTTTAAACATAACAATATTTTTCAAATTTGATAGTAATTAATCTTATTTTGAAATTTTAAAACGTTTTTACTTATATTCGGGGAATATTTCCATTCTTTTATTAGGACTAAATAAGTCATATTTGGGAAATAAATTAGTCTTATTTGTGAATCAATTTCTATTACTTCAATGAAAAGTCGTTTACATGTAGCACTATAGAATGCACAATACAGTGCCGGTTGATAAAATGGAGCATAAATTATCATATAATCAAACTTTACTAGTTCACCATTACCTCAAACGCATATCAGACGTTCACGATGCTAGTAATTACTACTAGTATATGTGTATGTATGCATCTATGCGGTAACGCATATCAGACGTTCACGATGCTAGTAATTACTACTAGTATATGTGTATGTATGCATCTATGCGGTTAAAAGCAAAGAAACGAAAAGAGAACTTGAAAATTTTCTATAATTCAAAATTTTTCGTTAATACAAACCCACCATCCGTATAGAGAGATGTGAATAATGACCTCATAAGCAAATAATCAGAGTTTCTTTATTGAAATCTTAATTTATTAAGACGTACCAATGCATTCAATCTCAATAATTAGCTTATTCTAACTCATTTTTGGAGAGGGCTAGGTGTCGGGTTGGGTGATGAATGTGGAGGCAATGATGCAAGCCTGCGCCCAAGCTTCGGTGCTGGTGGGGGTGGATGCAACGGTGCCCTTGGTGATGGTGGTGAGGGTTTGGGTGATGGCTTCGGTGAGGGTTTTGGTGATGGCTTCGGTGAGGGTTTTGGTGTGGGCTTCGGGGAGGGTTTGGGTGATGGCATCGGGGAGGGTTCGGGTGTGGGCATCGGTGATGTTAGCAATGAGGCAAGCCTTCGTCCCAACTTTGGTGTTGGTGGATGCAATGGTGCCTTTGGGGATGGTGATTGTGGCGTGGGTGCGACTTTTGGCGTCGGCTCAGATGAAGGTGGCAATGGAGAGACCTTTGGTGCTGGCTTTGGTGAGGGTTTCGGCGCTAGCTTTGGTGCTGGGGCTGGTGGGAGCGATGCAAGCCTTCGTCCCGTCTTCGGTGCTGGTGGGGGTGGATACAATGGTGCCCTTGGTGAGGGTGTGGGTGGATGTGGTCCCGGGCTCGGTGCGTGCTTCGGCTTGGATGGTGCAGGCGCGGGTGAATCCGGTTTGGATGGTGTAGGTGCTGGAGATTTCGGTGAATGAGGCGGCTTGGATGGCGTAGGCACGGGTGGATGTGGCTTGGATGGTGCTGGTGCTGGTGCTGGTGCTGGTGGATGCGGCTTGGATGGTGTCGGCGCCATCGACTTGAGTATGGACGATGTAGCATCATCATCTTCGGGCCTAAATCCAAATAAGGGATCAGCTGATGAAAGGCTAAAGATCATCAATGAAACTAGAAGTGTTACATTAATGTGCTGCTTTGAAGGGATCCCCATGCTTGCTCAACACCTGTTGATGTTCCTGTTTTTTATTTGAGAGTTGTCTCTTATTGTTTGTTTGATATAGTGCATGCAATTGCGTACGTTGTGTTATGACAATGCACTGGCTACATGCCCTTTTATACTTATTATCGGTCCAAACTCTAGTGGTGGTGATCCACTTTTTAAGAAAGCTATCAACTCTCCGTGTCCCTTGCACCAAATTTCAGGTTCTTTTTGCCACTTGCCACTCATTACCATGAGGTTTTACTTCTCATCACATACACATCCTTTGCGGGTTTTTACCAAGTTAGCTTCTTTTCCATTTGTGCCACCTGGATCTTAATTTTGCATCTACTAAAATGTCAAGAAATTATATTGCTCATGTCGTAATAGTGTAATACTATATGCACCAAGTTCACAAATACGGATTAATTATTTTGTATTTCTCAAATTGCGATTTATTTAGTTCTAATAAAATTAAAGAATAAGAAGATCTCAATGTTCTTTCTATAAAATGAATGAGGCCTATTTAAGTGGAATAATATTAGTTTTATTTGAAGAAATGTGATGGCCTGATAGGTTTTGATCCTATTCAAAAAGTTTGGACAAAAATAAGTTCGCTTGTTTAACTCGGAGTTTCCTCAAAATTAGAATCGTTTGCTAGCACTCATAACTGAACCGGTTGAATATATTGGAATTGATAAAATTCTTGTGGATGTGGTTGAACCGTTGAATTGATTGAGTTGACTTAATTATGAAAAAAATTATACTGTCGTATTTAACTTCATATGTCCCGTGAAGATTATATTGTTTCATCTTTCCTTTTGAGTCAATTCCACTAAATCATTCTTACGTTATACTATCTTTATCAATTCAATATACAAGTACAACACATAAATTCATTTTTCTTGGTAATCACATCACCTCGTCCTGTACTAATGCTAGAGGAACAAGGTTACTAATAAAATAAAGAAAGAATTATATGAAAATTGCTAAAATAGTGCGCTAAATAAAACATTATTTATTAGGTAAAAACTAGCTAATAAGTCAGATCAGCCCAAACATGAGTTATCAAACACACCCTTAAATAACGCTTTGATCATTTTTAAAACTATTGTGTTTATTTAGTAGAGAGATAAACGAGTGAGGAATACTAGAGTTTAAGAAAATCATATCGATCAAGAAGTACATTGAGATGAATGACTTTTACAGTTTTACACGCATGGCCCTCATGATGTCCTATAATGCGCCCAAAATTCAACACGTTAATTAGAAATCCAATGGCCGGGGGTGTATGAGAATTGTATCACATGAGAAGGATATACGGAGTATATGTATTATGGAGTATCTTCTCCCGCCAGACCTCTACTACTCTGGTCTTTAAATTTTTGAACATGCTAGTCTTATTTTGGAATTTTCAAACATTTTATTCATATTTCAAGAAATTTCCCTATTTAAATAAGTCTTCAATTCACGCACAAAAATATAAATATAAAATATATGTTTGATCTAATATTAAGTAGTGTTGAGGTTTAATCCCGTAGACCCGAAAGCCCAGCACAAACTTTGGGATATTAAGGATGATTTATCGTGACAGTGATTAAGGAATGAGATTAAGTAACGGTGCACTCAACAGCTCGCTTGTATTAAGGAAATATTACTGATTACAAGTAAATGACCGAACGGCACTTCGGTTCTAATGCTAATACAAGAGCTAGAGTGAGAATATATGTTTCTGAGTATCAAAATGATAATCCTTTACAATAGAGTAAATGCTCCTATTTATACTAGGAAAGGGGGTAGGTGGCAGGATGACGTGGCCGCGCGAACCCGATTGGTTGCTCCTCTTGCCACTTGTGCACCCATGCTTCCACTTGCGACCGCCATACTCCAGCATTCAATGCAGCTTGCCACTTGCCAGACCTCTAGACCGGGTGTTGGGCTCAGGCGGTTAGCAGACAAGAATGTTGTTGCCTATCTGCCCCAAGTATAGGATATAGCTCAGTTCGGGATGCCCCGAACGACTTCCTTGCTAACTGAGGACCTCCCGTTCGGGACTGTTCAGTTTCGTTGGGCTTCCCCTTGGCTTACCGTTTTTACTGGTCTCTTAAGATAGTTTGGGCCGGATATCCCAACATGTAGGATCTAAACAATGTCAACAACAATGTACACATCCAAACATTGCACCTGATATTGTGAAGAAAAACTTTTTAAAAACAAATACAATCATTCAAATTTGGAGATATATATGTTCTACGGAGTAGTTATTAAAAATGCTTTTACTTATACTTATCTCAGTCTCAAATCGGACCACACTACTACATTTAATGGTCTATTGTAACAATCAAAACTGTTACATTTGATTATAATAACTGTTACATTACATTATTTGTAACAGTTTATTGGCGTTACATTCGCTGCCGTTACCTTAGATCTATTGTAACGGCTAGTAACACATTTAACACCAATAGTAACACTTTGTGGTGTCTAATGAAAGTGTTACTATATCATTTAACCTGTTACAATAACATGCAAATGTAACAATTTTCCACCTATGCAAAGGTAACACTTTCTAACATATAAAGCTGAATTCTTTTTATGTAACATTTAGTAAATACAATGTAACACTTATTATAATTATATTATTATTAATTTAAACAAAAATATACTTCTTTAAATTTCATGCCAGGGCATATTAAACGAAAAGAATGTACACAAGTAACATAACTTAATATTTAATAATTATCCAACTCAAACTCAAAATGTATTGTACATACTGCATACAGTAGTAACACCAATATGTGATTATATTACTAGCTAATATCTAACTTCATGTACTTGAAATTAAAATAATTACATATTAGTTAAAAGAAAAGCTCATGTTAATACACAACCATGAACTATTTTGTTCAATCATTTATAGAAGACTTTCTTGGAGTAGAATCATTCGCCACTTGATTCATTTCTTCCTCAATCTTCATATGTATCCCTCCTCTGTAAAAGAACAATTTCAACATGTTAGCATTCATGTTTTGACATCATAACTTGGGGTTGGATATGCTTGGGACTGTGGTTATCCTCTAGGCATTCTTGAAGTATGAGTCTAATACAAGTCTTTATCCCAGTCAAGTCATGACTGGGATCGGTCTTGGATATATCATACAAAATTTCAGCCCACTTTTTTTCTTTTTTCAAAGTCCTTATTGTTTTTGGAACCAAAAAAACAGTGTGTCTCAGTTTTGAAATAACGGATGAAAACAAGATTAGAATATAATACAAAAAACTTGCCTATGAGATCCATACTAATAATAGAACCATACTAGGTAATGATACGAACAAAGAAGTTAAACAAATTTAAAGTCACGATCAATCATGTAAAACCAAAAAAACAACATTCAACGTCACTCTTAAAGTCCAGGAAAAATGAGCCAAGTTGTAGGGTATATCATAGTAACACTAGATGATAGAGAATATCCACTCACGCCCTACCTTAGTTTTTTCCCAAAACAATTCTTTTTTTGTTCAAAATATAATACTTCAGTCATGCTTGAAATAAACATCTTGAATGTTCCAAGACATATTCTTATTCAATAATTAGGAAGCAATAAATCACCCTCAGGCTAGTAATTCTGTAGTGTATTTTAGTTTATATGCCATAGATTTTAAAATGACAGCTACTACTTGTTATCTTGGTAGTTTTCTCTAGGCATTCTTTCGTCCATTATGATCAGTAAATAATCATTTTTCTAGCTGCATTACTGCATGTGTATGATACATCAAATTCTATTAAAACGTTAGACTGTCCTTATGCCCATTTTTATACGGAGTATCAAAACAATTAAATTATGAGTTTCTCAAGAATTGTAAGTTGGAAATTAACACACCTTAAGGTGGTCAGATAATCAAACATCAATTTGTTTACTCATTTCATCTTCTGATATGTCCAGCGCATCTTCAAATCCATTTGCAATCAAATTCTAGTTTCATTGAGAGATCATCCAAATCCATCAGATTGAACATTTCTCTTTTCTTCCTACCTGCAGAAGCATGAAAGAACACCTAGATTAGGCATTGAGAATATAAAAATGCAAAGAGTAGCTCCTCTAACAATATAAACTCACTAACATAATCTATTTTAGTCTAAAATGAATTTGATATCATCATTTTCTGATATAACACTACAAAAAAGATTTGTAAAAAGAACGACTAGCTCATGTTTTTAGATTGTATGTACGCTATTAGTCTATAAAATAATTGCTAGTGATATCAACCAAAAGCTATTTTGAGTTTCAGCACAAAAGTAGAAAGAAATTGAATACTTAATTTCTAGTTTTCTTTTTGCAGTATTGGTATGTACCCACAAGATCTTGTTCAACATATTAGAGGGAATCCGTTAACGTTCATATACATGTATGCAAACTTTCGGGGAATATTTGTAACACAATAACACAATGTCAGAAAGCATCTAATTGCACCCTAGCTTAGAGCTTTGTTATGCTTAAATCAATCTAAATCTATTACTTTCTGGATTCAATATTTAAGATCCATAACATTCATGGATATACTCATATCACATATTAATAGTCTATTATATATTGTTGGCCAGGGGCTTAAATCATATTTAAGTTTTACATGAAGTTTGCAAATTGCTTTAGTGTAGGCATCACAAGCAATTTTTTTTATAATGTAATCAATATCCAAAACTTAAAACTATTAGAAATATAGTTGATAATCCAGCAATATAATCTCTGCCTATAATATAAATGTCATCTTCGGTTAGTTTGGTTCTTTTCCGTTACCGGCATCTAATTTTATTGACGACTTCTGTCTTCTCCGTTAAACACCCCACTTCCATTATGCATCACTCTGAACAGCCCCTTCTAATCTGATTCAGTCAGTTACTTCACAGCCCCTCACCAACGGCGGCTTCCAGCCTTAGTCGTTTAATTTCAATCACACCTTTTCATGCCTCTGCACATCTACTCTCTTCTCTTCCTTGATGCTCTTCTCATCCTCTTTGGTCTTGCTGCTCATCTTCAAACAAGATACATCCTACTTTGTAATTAGTTTTGTGTTCCTACTCATACCAAAGTTCTTATAATATACGGCTGC